CCTCCTCCTCCTTCTAATCCTCTTCCTTCTTCTGATTGGCCTCCTCCTCCTAATCCTCTTCCTCCTTCTCCTCCTCTTCCTTCTTCTAATCCTCCTCCTCCTGCTCCTTCTAATCCTCCTCCTCCTCCTAATCCTAATCCTCCTGCTTCTAATCCTCCTCCTAATCCTTCTAATGCTCCTCCTCCTCCTCTTCCTTCTAATCCTCTCCCTCTCCTTCTCTCTCTCTCAGTTCCTCAGTTTGATGTGATAGCCGTAACTTTTCAATTATGCTCCATTACTTTATAACTATGGGATATACATTGTCTGGTGTATATACATACAGGTATGTATATATATGCATATAATTTACTTCTTTATTAATGTGCCTTCTTTCCTCTTCAGTATTTACAACTCCCCAAGAAGGAGGACGTCAACATAAACTTCCGCAGCTACTGGAACACGGGAATCTTTTATACCTTCGACTTCATTGCCAACATCCCCACTAAGATCATTGGATTAAAGGATTCTACTGTAGATTTCATCAGCTCGTCCTTTGCGTCAGAGAAGCCAAAAGAAGTGGAAAGTAAACCAGAGGAAAGCCAAGCTGCGGCAAGCCCTCCTCCCCCTGCTGCTAGTGATGCTGGGCAGGCCGAGGCTGCTAGTACAGAAGATGCTAAGAGCTAGGATATTTTCCCCAACAAAAGAGGTTGATTTATTTTTTGTTTAGAACCATGAGGCAGAAAAGTTTTCAAAAAGTGTAATGAATCTGTTTATTATTACAATTTGTTTAATTTTCATTTTATTATCTTCTTTAACGGATGCATAGATGGAATTTTTCTTATGCTGCTCTTTCTCTCACTGACTTGTATATAGTGATCAATAAAAGTAAAGGCTACTACCAATTTTCATTAGCCCAGTTTTATACTGAAAGCAAAAATTTCAATAACTTTGCATTTTTGTAATTTCAGCTATGATTTGAACATAATTCATGGTGTTTCATACATATGTTATAGTACAGTGATTCCCAAAGCGAAAGTAATTACCCAAATAAAGTAATTTAATAAGTATTGTTAAGAAATAAATGAATGAATGTGAATTGCTAGATAAATAAAGAATGACTGTGAATAAGTAATAGATAATTATAATAAGCCAATACTTTCATGGTATACCTTTGCATAACTGCTTTCTCAACATTTGGCTTGCAATAAAACTATAGTCAACAACAAACAGAAAAATCATTAGATGTACATTATCCTCTACTGAACTATATATTCATTTTAATTAAAGGACAAATAAAAGTTTCACATTAATAATGCAGCAATAATGTCTGTTTTCTATTAATTACCAAAGCAACATTGCTTTAATTAAAATTTATGTAAGAAACCATAGTTTGATTAACTTAATTTTTCCAGTCAAATGAATAATATGTGAATCTTTCTTCCTTAAATAAAATTCATTCTCTTAAATGAAGTACATAAAAAGTAAATCATTCCAATATTTCCCCCCCCCTTTAACTTCACATAATCTGTGAAACTGTTGCTTGCTGTTGTTGAGGGGGAGCTTAGGAGACAGAGACCTAATTTATGGGATGGCCTCAGCCCTCACCTTAACCACTTTTGCATGGTCTTTTCTTCTCCCCCTTTCCTCTTCTGTATTTTCTTCATACCCTTCTTTTGTCCCATTCCTAAGATGTGATAGCCATGTTGAAAGGATGAAAGGCTGGTTTTGTGTGTCATAAACAGCCTCCAAGAGCCATGAGCATGGTATTCTCTTGTTTAATTGCCCTTACCCCTTATGGGGACCCTGAGGGGTAGATCGTCTATTACCCTGTTTTATTCAGGGTCACCATAGCCAATAATAAATATTCTTTACCCTTGATATAGGCATGAAGGCTTAGATTTTGTTTTTTTTATCCCTGCCCCTCCTTTGACCATTGCTCTGAGCATTGATACAAATACACCCCCTCAATGTTTACTGACAACTCTATCCATTCTGAACCACTCACCCGGGTCATTACTCAACCTTCAGAAGGCACCCCTTCCTCTCTCCCAACATTCTTCACTCCATCACCTACTGCACAGTCTTCTTCAATGTCAACCCCCTCTTCCCTTATTACTACTCTTCATTTTTATTGTCTTCCCCCTAAGAATTACTACACCCCAAACCACGCCATCTGCCTCCTGCCCTTCATCCTTCCGATCGTTCACACCTTGTGACAGTTACATCAAAATCCTTAGCTCAAGCACTATTTACCCTAATTAACATCTTTGGCAAACCCTTTCCTGCCGAAACCTCACTCCTCTCTTAATATTTGTACTGGATCTTTTTCTGTCTCCTCAACTGATTGTCCTATCTATGACAAGAACTAGTCAGACTGTGAAAATGACCTACTTACCTGTCTTGTTGGTTATGATGCAATGGCAGTACTGTAGCAACCCCCGCAATCTGCAGCGCGGCATACTTCCCCCAGGTTGGGTCACTTGGGTCCACAGCCGGTCCTCTCGCCCTCACCTTCAGTAGCTTCTCAAAGACGCATGGTTGACACTGGACACCTCACGGCTCGCCTATTGGACTGCAGGCTCCAATAGGCGAGCTACCAGGAGCGAGGGAAGCTCCCGGTAGCTGACACAGCTTAGCACTACTTATGCTCCAGCGCTCTGGCCGAGATCAGTTAACTATGCAAGGGGTTTCGCCCCTCTTCTTTTAATCTCCCAATTTCTTTCCATTTCTCTCTTTACGTCCTTATCTCTCTCTCCCCCTTCCATTTCTCCACTTTAATTCGTATCATATCGTAGCGAGATCAGCACACACCGATCCTCCATACTGAGCAAGACAACAGCAGCACCAGGTCTACTCAGGCTTTAGCCGTCGGGGGAGCCGCCCTGGCTTTCCCTGTTGGTCTCCAGCACCCAGCCATACCTGTGGGCACTCACACCCACACCAAACACTCCTTAAAGAGATGATTAACACCAGTCAAATGGCGATGCAAACCCACAGCCATAGTACAGTGCTACACTATTAATCCAAGAGGCCAACACATATCCCATGCCCATTGCCAAGATTAGCTTCAGTAGACATGACCTCCCCATGAAGTTTATTTTGGTGGAGCATCCTATATTGACCCCTTCCTCATCAGTGTCATAAACGTTGGCATTTTGGCCACCCAGCCAAACAGTGTCACTCCACAGTCTGCTGCCCTCTATGTGCCCAACCTTGTCTTGGCCGTTCAAATTGCTCTGCTCAGTCACATAAATGCCAATTGTGGCGACTCATAATGTATTTTATAGGAGCTGCCGTGCCAATAAGCTCGAATGTGAGGTAGTAGTTCTCAGATTCAAACTAGGCCTTACTCTATGTGCGGCCAGAAAAGAAGCATGGTGATGAGGTTTTTCTCTTTCTACTTATTCTAAAACAATTCTTCACTCTGCTCCTCTCTCTTCTTCTCAAGATGTCTTCTCTTCTCCCCAATATCTCTTCCCTCTACCTCGAACCATCCTACCTCTACTCCCCCAGTCAAGTCCCTTTTCCAGTCTAAATCCAGATACTCCAATATCTACTACTACCTACTCACTTTACTATCACACTAGGCGACAACCACATCCTCTCCTCTGCACTTCAAATATCTATGTCCTTTTCTCCTCACCAGAGATCCTTTGTTTTTCAATCCTCTTTACCCAACTCCTCTCCAGAAACTCTTGAAGACATTCAAAACTTTGTAAGGTGACCAGAGCGAACACTCTGCTCGCTCATCCACCCTCCAATCCCTCTGTTCCTACTCCCTCTACATTTAAAGTATTTGCCGATATCCATCCTCCTCCTCCACAAGTACCCCCCACCACACTTCCTCCTCCTACCCCAACCTCTCTACCACTCCCTTGTGTCACAACAATGTCCTTCTCTGGATCCCTTCTCTCCTGACACTCTTCCTGATACTTCATCACCTTCCCCAGTCCTCTTTTTTCATCCCCCAGATTTTTCTTATCTTACTTCTCCAACAGCCATCTCTATTTTCCTTAAACAATGTCCCTATTCCTTCCCAAGTCACAGATACACTCCATTTTATTCTATTGCCCTAGCCCCTGCTTTACTTCATTTGCCCCCCTCCTTACCCTTTTCACTACCATACCACCCTATAATGCTTTTTGATCTGTGACATCTAACACATATCCTAATCTTTAACTCGTTACCCTTTTTGCTATAATATTTTACCATAGTGCTATATGACCTTTAATTTAGCACATATATTTGCTTCAACCATTAACCACTTCATAAAGTTCTGAATGTAAAGACTATCTTTTAAAGCTGTTTTGGGGAACAGCATTAGTACATTCCTATATACTTTCCAAGAACTATCATGCAAAGAAAGCCATGTCATTGACAGAATTTTGTGAATCTTTGGTTCTTTCCCTTTCCCACAGAAAAAAGTGAACATTGAAAGAGCTGATCTTTCTGGGTGGAACAGATAAACTTTCTCTCTTTTCCAATTATAAGTTATATGAGCAATAGAGAGTTGGTGCTATATGTTCTTTAGTTTGACTGAAAGAAGTGCAATTGCAGCTTTAAAATCTAGAATATTGAATATTAAATGCAATGAATATTGTGATATATAGATAATTTTCACCAATGCTGCTTATACCTATCTTGCTATAGTCAGGATACATTTTTCCCTTTTTGTTTGTTGAATCATGAACTTCCTTTTCGTATTTAGATTAGTGATAATGCCACAATTTAAAGAAATGGTTGGTGAATTTTCTTATAACTATTTTGGTACAATATATATAATATATAGAATATATAATTGAATTTTAAAGGATACTACTATTTATTAGTCTAGACATAACTTGGAGAAAAGTCCCGTTTGTTATGAATGAAAGTTTTTTAGGTCCATAGTTTTGGGTAAATTCATCTTTAGTGTGTGTGTGTGTGTGTGTGTGTGTGTGTGTTGTGTGTGTGTGTGTGTGTGTGTGTGTGTGTGTGTGTGTGTTTGTGTGTGTGTGTGTGTGTGTGTGTGTGTGTGTGTGTGTGTGTGTGTGTGTGTGTGTGAGAAGAGGAGAGAGTGTATGTGTGTGGATACATGCATATATATTATATATTATATATATATATATATATATATATATATTATATACTATATATATTAGTATATGTGTGTATATATATAACTCTCCATCTTTCATATATGTGTATGTGTATGTGCGTGTGTATGTGCACATATATGTATATACAAACATGCATACATACATACATAGAGAGAGTGTGCTCTTTGAACTGAAAAGTGTGCTCCAAGAAATTCCGGGCGCAATGAAAACTGGCTAATAGATAGTATGGGAAATTGTTTAATATCTCAAAACTAATTAGCGGATTGTTAACTCATTCAAAGATTGATAAATTATATATACACATAACCTCGTATAAAAGAGTGCATTTCCATTGCATTTTTTTTCTGTTATTCCGAAGTTTCCTCACCTTCACACCTTCAAGGTTTCCATCACTCAGAATTTCTAAGGCATAACATTCACTGTGTATTTCGTAAGACAAAAACATCTACCTTCTAAAATTCAGTTTCATGGAATTTGAGTTGTTACAATGTTATCCCTTCTTAAAACATAATCCAGTCTTTCAAGCCATCGCTGCTTGTTTAGTAATCTTCATGAATACTAATTGGCTTGGACGTTCCCTCCCCTCTGTATTTCACACGAGAGAGAGAGAGAGAGAGAGAGAGAGAGAGAGAGAGAGAGAAGAGAGAGAAGAGAGAGAGAGAGAGAGAGAGAGAGAGAGAGAGAGAGAGAGAGAGAGAGAGAGAGAGAGAGAGAGATATGCAGACAGTAAAGAAATGTAAGGAAATATAATGTAAAATAAATATATCGGTATGTAATATATTTGTTAGGTATATGAA